AGGGGTGGGAGTCAAGCGTCTGACCTTCCCCTGCCGCCAGGTGCAGTGCGGAGTGGCTCTGGGCGGGCCCAGCGGGGGTAGCTCCCTGCTGGGCGGCCCCAGCAGGAGGGGAGGGGGAGCTGGCCAGGCGGTCCACAGGCGTGGGGTGGGGCACTCACAGGCTACCACGAACACTGCCGGGTCCTCAGTCCTCTGGGCTGTGATGCTCCTCCGCACACGCAGGTGGTTCTCCCTGGAAAGCCAGAGTGCTGGGGTGGCTCATGGGCCCAGAGCGGGGCTCTGGGGAGTGTCCACAGGGCCCGGGAACTCAGCCCAGCTGGCCTTGGCTGGCCAGGAGCAATGTCACAGGTGCTGGCCTGTATGTAGGCAGCTCTTGAGGCCCTGAGCACGTAACTCGGGCCAGCTGACAATGGGGAAGACAGACCAGCCAGGAAACCTGGCAGGCAAGCTGGCTGGTGGCTGAGGGCATGTGGCAGCTCAAAACTGACCCTCCCTATGTGGCACCTGGTCACTGTGCTTCCAAGTATGTCATCACAGATGCCCTCAGGACTCCTTGGCCCTAGGCCCCCACTCCAGGGGCCGACCAAGGGCCCCAGCCTGCAGCTGGCCACCTGCCCCCACTCAGGCCTCTAGGCCTCTCCACACACTGGCCCTGGGGCTGTGTGCTGTGGGGTCACCCAGTGGGCCCAGAGCCCTGGGAGGGGCCTCTAAGAGGACTGGGAACCTCCGAGCTCCCTTCCCACACCTGGGGCACAGTGCCTGCCCACAGGGCCCCTCAGGAGCCCTGCCCCGCCTGCCTGCCTGCCCTGGAGCCAGGCCCTCATGGGGGAACCTTGGCACACCCACCGTTGGGTCGTGACGATCTCCAGGTTGTCCTAGGGGGTGGGTCTCAGCTCCTGGATGTACATTCTCAGGGGGGTGCTAGCAGAGTCCAGGAGGGAGATGTCACTGGCTGCCATGGCCATGGAGTGCCAGGTCCCGGCCACCTGGGGGGGAGGGGAGCCTTCAGCTGCACTTGGGGGCAGGAGGGGGTCCAGGCCCACAGAGGATGCTCCGCCCACCCCGTCCAGCCGGGTGGGGACTCCTGTCGCCTGGGTTTCTCAGATGGTGTATAGCGTGTGCTGTGCCAGAATCCAGGACACCCGCCCTGTGCCAGTCCTGGGGGTGTTCTCGTGGACTTGGTACAGCTGCCTTCTGAACCCCAGCCTGTCCTAAGGCGGCTCCCATTCAGGGTGCAGCTGGGTAGGCAACTCCCAGGACTGAGAGAACGAGGATATTTGGAGTTCAGGTGGCTCGAGCTGGACAAGTCCCTCCAACCTTTGGGGGGACAAAGGTGTCCCCCACATGAAGGCCTCACTTTGCCTTCCCTTTAGGTTCTGAGGTCCAGGCTTCCCTGCCCTCTCTCAGACCACCCTGACCCAGCCACACCACACCTTTGTTAGGTCCAGGCTCCCCATGGTCTGGGGACGTCGGCGGCCCGCGTGCCACGCAGGAGGGCCATGCCCAGGGCGAGCAGGAGGCACGTCATGGCTGCAGCTGCGGTTGCCCCTCTGAGCTCAGGAGAGTGGGGAGGCGGGCGGGGGCTCGGCCGTATGGAGGAGGAGGGC